AAAAAAACCCACATAACCTGACCCGGGCCGCCGCGATGGAAGCCGTGACTGTCCACCTAAGCTATGGCGCAGCCACCATAACTCCACAAAGCTGAGTCATTTTTGAGAAGCCTGCAGTCGCCCAGCTGCGAAAGAACTTCCCAACATTTTATGTAATCTTGAAGTTCATTACCGTGCTCACAAGAGCCTTCCACTGGTACCAAGACGGATCAATCCAGAACACACCACCACATCCTAGTTCTCTAAGATACATTTTAATATTATCCTTTGATTCATAACTATGTCTTCCTAGTGGTCTCTCCTTATGACTTCGCCGCCAAAACCCTGTATGTATTCCTCTTCTCCCCAATGCGAGCTACATGCCCTACCCATCTCATCCTCCTTGACTTTATCATTGTAATTGCACTGGACGAAGAGAAAAAATTAAGTAGCTCCTCAATATGACATTTTATCTTTCCTTATATTAATGGTGTGAGCGCGGGAAGCTGAAAAATCTCCACTGTTAGAAGGCGTTACCAGGCAACGACTAGTGAAGACACTGCAGTCTGAAGAAAACTTAGCGTGTAGGGATTTGTAAAGTGTGGCAATCAGCGATAGCGCTGTAATTGTTTGTAGTTCCAATTGGTGTGTATAAGTGGTCAATAAATCCATTTAGCAATCCCTACCCCGTCTACAGTCAGTCTAAATAGCGACAATATCTTCATGATTTCCTCGGGAGAAAAAGATTCCAAGAGATTCAAAGACTCGTAAACTACATCTACTGCACTAATAGCAGTACGTCATATCTCGGGAAGAGAAGCTCTGTGTAAGCAAGTTTGAATTTCCCGGCAGTGTATGAACTCCGTGGCTTGAGCGACCGTCGCTCGTCGGCGAAGTTAGTGCAAACTTTTGCGGACAGAGGGTATCGCGTGGTCAGCACAACGAATCCCCACGGCCGTTACTTTCGGTTTTCCTAGACCGGAGCCGCTATTTCCTTGAAATATTTCCTCAATTATCCTCATGAGGCTGAGTGGACCCCGTTGCAGACCCACTACTTCTCAGAAAATCTGGTAGCGCCGGGAATCGAATCCAGGACCGCTGTATGTGTAGGCAGGAACTCTGACCACTAGACCACACAGGCGGTCCCATCGGACGTATACTGAAATATAATGTAATAACTTTATTATGACGTAACAGTCTACGTCACTAACTGCTAATGACGCACCTTCGTTCCCAAAGTAGATGGAGTACAGTCTAAATATTCTCCTTCTTACGAAAATGTAAATGAGTTATAATTTATCTTCCTTGAATACTTTTCGGCACAGATGTTATAAAAGGAAGAACTGGTTTATCTGTCAATGACCCGATATAATGACACCCAAAGAGGACGCTCCAATGACAATCAAATGCATGGTCTTGTTCCCGCAAGATATTTCATAATGAAAGGAAACACATTCCTTGGATAAACTGGAATCTTCCTACTCCTAGCCACAAACAATATATCCTTCCCACACAAAAAGAACATTCGAGATCTCGTACGTAGACAGGAATGATCTAACAAGGGTATCGTATTAGATCTGTGTGTGTGCACGTGCGTGCGTGTCGTGCAGAGTGCAATGACGTGAAAGCAAACCTAGATCACTGGTTTCCACCCGAGTTTATGACCCAAGACCAGTGTTACGACTACTCACAAAAATCTTTGGTCTATCTGCTTTATGCTGGCTTCTTACTGTGCTTACTTTTCTATCCTGAAGATGGAGGCAGTATGTTCCACCGAAACATGGGTAAATTTCTATCGGACTACACGACGTTATATTCAGAACACTGCAGTAAGTAAAATGGCTCTGTAGTATCGTAAGTTCTTTTGGCGGTGATTATGAAGTTTTCCGCCTTCTTTCCTTGCTTGGCTTATTTTTCTACCCTGAAGATGGAGGCAGTATGTTCCTCCGATACGTTAACAACTTATAGCAGATTATATGGCAGAATATCAAAGATTAAAGCTCTTCGTAAACATCAGATGAATTTTTCGGTTTTAAACCTTTTAAAGAACACTGGTTGCTATACTTACCACCTGCATCATACTAAAACTTCGCATATTACAAGTACAATGTCTCTCGTGTACCGTATGGTTCTCACAATCAACACCGAAGGTAAAAATGTAAGGTTGTCCCGGTGCTTAACTAATTAACAACTACGCCATGAAGACGTATGGGGGAGTGGATGTATACATCCACATTTTCTTGACCTCGACACTAGTTGGAGGTGAGTGGTCAGCTTCAGGCCCTGTCCGCTTTACCCCCGCAGAAAGAGCCCCAGCTACCCATTGAATAGGACGCCGGGTGGGACCAAGAACCGATCCGGACGACGTGGAGAAGAGAAACTTCTTGACCCTGCCGGTACTCGAACTCCGACCCCTCAGTCCCTCCAAACACATGCTGGGATAATACCTTAAATTGGACTACGGTCGCTTCCTTCCACACCCCTTCCCAGTTCACTGCACACTACCGTCCAATTCAACGCCATACGCTGAGTTACTAACAGAGTCGATAACTAAAAGGGAAAGTTCTTCCTGTGCTTAATTAGTTAAGAACTATGCCATGAAGATATATGGGGAGTGGAGGTATATCTCCGTGTATTCTTTACCTCTGTACTAGATGGAGTTGAGTGGTAGCTTCACGCCCCGGTCGCTTTACCACCCGTCGAAAGAACCCCCCCAACCACTTGGGATACCAATTGCATAGGAGGCTGTGTGGAATCCAGAGGCGGTCTGGATGCTATGGAGAAGAGAAAAATCTTTCCACTGCTGGGATTCGAACCACGGCCGTCCATCCCGTACCTCGTTGCTACAGCGACTGAGGCTGTTAAATAAACTACAAATATAAATAACTTACTTACTTAAGTAAAAAAGTAAAGGTATCCTTGTAACAGGCCGTGGAGGCCCATAGGGTTGTGAGACGTTGAGGTTCCCACATTTTCTAGACAATCGGCTCATAGATGGCGGCAAGGTTGTCAGCCTTACGCGCCGGCCGCCCATACCCCCAAGAATATTCCTGGTATTCATTTCTGTTAGAAGCTAAGTCGACCCCAGGGCCATAGTGCGGCTGGAAGGATTATGTAAATTGAAGAAAAAATCCACCTTATCGGGACTCGATCTCGCGACCTTCGGCTTGTAGCATAGTGCCTCAACCAACTACGCTACCGCCTGCCCCCCTTACTTATTTACTCGTATAAATAAAATACAGAGAATTAACTTACGATACTACGAGTCTAAATCTGTTAGACTACTCTGACACGAGAGCAATGCCACACAAGGCCTACCCACGCTGGCAACATAAAACAACCGATGCCCCAAACAGGATTCGACTCCCTATCCTAGAATTTGAGCGGTCAAAGACATATGAACTTGTAACTTACACGGCCAACGTGATCGACAAAAAGTATTACTAACCAACCAACCAACCTTTATATATTGCCCTATGGTGACGGCCTTCTGGAGGTACTGCACAGTCACCGGTGCTGATCCAACGCGTGTACAGCTCCTGAACTCGCTGTTCTTGTTGTTTCGGTTCCTCCTATTCCTCCTCTTGTTGTTGTTGTTGTTGTTGTTGTTGTTAAAATGAATCCCGCCTTCTTTGTCGTTAAAACACTAGTAACATCAGAGACCACGAAAACACGCACAATTTCACGTGAAGAATGTGAAGTTGTATACAAATGTGTCACTACTGCGGAATGCAATGTCCTCTACTTTCAAAAAGCTCGAGACAGAGAACGCCTCAAAGATTACGTCACCATAAAATACAGACACGAGCTAGAAGTATTATATTAACATCTTCGAAGAACATCACCCCTCCCCCCCAAAAAAAACTTTTCCCCTCCTTGTTCTGATGACCTGAGATTCTGTACTTAAGCCTTCATTCTGTAACAACACGCAATCACGCAACTATATTATTTACACCGGTAACACACAAGACAACAGTCATGTCAACTGACGTAAGCCACACGAAATAATTACTTTACATATTATTAAATGTGAAATAACCCGTCACTGTTAGAAAGTTCACCACCAGAAAGTTGCGAACTTCAAAAAAGAAGTTGCTTTTAATTCCTTTATGTCACACGCAACTTAACTTACATTTAAACTTTGACTAAGAGATCATTTTTATGTAAATGTGACATACAGAAAATGCTTTGGTAACAGTATTAATATGAGCTGAACTCATCTGACTGCTTAACACACGTCAAGAATGTTTTGATTCCTTCAGATACGGCGAACAGGGCGACTGAAGCGACACGATACGCTAAATGTCTCATTCAAAACATTTCAATGACAAATGAACACTGATGAGGCAGAATGAAATGGAAGTCTTCCAACTACGAGTTATAAACATGCGTAATCACGCGAATCGATAGAAAATTTCTACTGCAACCCTGTAAATTTAATGAAAATCTCACCACCCGCGTAATAAATGGGCTATAAACACACAGTTATGTCATACATTGATGCCTAAAAATCGTTTTATTTTAAAATATTCAATTTATGTAACTTTTCAAAATATATTTAAATAAATAGCACGCTAACATATCTGGAAACAAATGTAAAAAAAAAAATCTAATTCATCAATAATATATAATTTCAAAGAATTATGTGTTTTAAATTTATGTTTGTCACGTTCGCTGTCTACGGTGACAACTGACGAAAAAGTAATTTGTCAAATGGGGTACAATTTGTACTATAAGCTACATTTGTCAAAGTCAACATAAAATTGTTCGAAGACCTACATGACACAGGAATACTAAATTGCTTCACCCTAATGGGTGCATCAGTTATATTTTATTTGTATGCTAAATACGTGTTCCTTTCTATTAAATCAATACAGACAATTCTTATATAAATTTAGTACATGAATTAGGCGTAATAATTTAAAATTCAACTAAGCAACACGTTTCGCTAGCATTGTGTGCGGTTTTAAGTTGTTACATAACACTGGTTATTACCGAAGATTTGAAGCGATATTACGTACAGCTGTTGTGTTCCTCCCTCGGGAATAAACTCTGTAGATGCCAGTCGGCCGCGTGGCTGCGCGCGGCGCATGCCCCGATCAGTTCTAGTCGCGCAACACACTCAAACCACAACTACCCACACCGACAGCCTCGCTCGCACTGACGGAAGATGCTTAGCCCGTATGAAACTTCGCCCGAAGCACGTACCGTCAAATGTTCTGAACGCGGTAGTTTCAGCCTTCGAACGTACCAGAAACGAAACGGTTTTTGAACAACGCTTTCTAAACTAAAAATAAAGTTGACATTCTGTGTTAAACTTCAGGTTGTCAAAGCGGTCACTTTGAAAGCACTGTCTTCTGTGATGTGATGCCGTGTACTCTGGTAGTTCATCGAAGTTTCGACAGAACATATTATTTCCATCTTCAGGAGCGATAAGTAAGCCAAGCAAACACTCAGTAAGCGGCAATTAGAGCTCTGCTGCTGGTCGCTTGCTTGGCTTACTCTAATTATGGAGGCAATATGTTCCTCCGAAATGTCAGTGAACTTCTACCGGATTATACGGAGTCACATCTCAGAAGAAGGTCTGGCTCACTTAGTTACGGTTCAACACATTTATAATAATATACAATGCTCGCCATCTCGTTTTGAGTTTGTGTTTGTTCCTCTCAAAATTTTGCACTTTCTTCCCCAGCCCAACCAGCTTATACTGACTCCATGGGGCTCAGTCCTTCTTGAGAAGACGCTAGTCGCTCAGCTACTCAACAATTTACCAATATTTTACGGAATCCAAAGGTTCATTGCCGTGGTTACAACAGTCCGCCATTGGTCATTATCCTGAGGCAGATGAATCCAGTTCATATCACCCAAACCTATTTCTCTCACATCCATTTTAATATTATCCTCCCACCTAAGGTCTATGTCCTTCTGGTTTTGCTACCAAAAATATGTATGCATTTATTTTCTCTCCCATCTGTGCTACATGCCCTGCCCATCTCGTACTCGAGGAGAAGGGCACACGTTATGATGCTCCTCATTATGTAAATTCCTCAAGCCTCCCATTATTTCATCCCTCTTTGGTGCAAATATTCCTCTCAGCACCCTGCTCCCTAATATCAGAGATCAGGTTTCACACCAGTACGAAACTACAAGAAAATTATAGTTTTGCTCTTTTTAGTATTTACATTTGTTGACAGCAGACGACACACTATATAAAGACAATAAATACTACGCAGTGATCGCTTTGACGTAACTTATATCAGATGAGAGATTTTTATGGCAGTAATCAGAATATGACTCAACTTCCTGGCTTTATTTTAAAAATTTTCTTCAGTATTCCAGTACCTGCCTTCTGATATACCTCACATCCAGAAAATTATTTCACTATTATTAATTCAGTCAGTATAATGGCTATGTTACGGAACTCCATGGCCTGTAGTCCGCAAGCGAACTATACCGACCGAGCGACCGACACTTTTCGGCGAAGTTAGTGCCAACTTTTGCGGATAGAGTGTGTCACGTGGTCAGCGCAACGGTTCCCCACGGCAGTTAATCTCGATTTTCTAGACCGGAGATTATGGAATAAACCACCGAAAAAAATCTAAATCCGATTATCGATTTGAGCAAGATAATTTTCTCCAGAGCGTCCAGACCAGCTGTGGGGTCCATCTAGCCTCTCATGTAACACGTAACCTAGCGTCTTTCGGGAGTAAAACGCCAGAAACATGAAACTGACCACTCTTGTCTAATGCAGAGTTTAAGAATGCATGGCGCTATGCCTCAGTTCCCCTATACGTCAGCATGGAGTGGTGCTTAATTGAGTACAGTGATGGCTTTCCCTCCACAAGTATAACTGATAGCAGTAAGCGATTTATTCAGTGTGAAATTGACCTTATGCTTAATTAAACACAGGGCCATTAACACACAGGCGGGAATTGAGGTATTACTCCACCAATTCCCACCCATATACTTCCTCCATTGCTCTCAGAGCTATTTCAGGGTTCTCAGGAGATCGGATATTTCAATCACACTCATGTGATTAGCACTGTTAAAAAGAAACTGGTTTCTCCATTTGGCCGTAATGCCTTCCGTCTGCAACTGTTCTGCCTCAGTTCCGGAGTTCCGCGAACCAGGGTCGACTGGTTCGGACAAAATTCGTAATCTCTCAGACAGGCCTAGTGGCGTAAGCAGTTTTATTTTCTGATTTTGTGGGAACAAAACTTGGCACTTAGAATTCAGGAAGTGTTGAGTACTTGTTCGTTCAGTACGGCCTCGTGCGTTCATTTACGTCTTCAAAGCATTTCCCGGGGAGGGGCACTATGCTACAAGCTGGAAGATCGCGGGTTCGAGTCACTATGAGGTCATTGGATTTTTCAATTGACCTAATCCTTCCACCCGCACTATGACCTTGGGGTCGACTCAGTTTCTAACAGAAAAAGAGTGTACCAGGATTCTTCCTGAGGGGTAAAGCGCAGTCGACGCGTAAGGCTGACAACCTCACCGCCATCTGTGAGCCGATTTTCTAGAAAATGTGGGAGCTTCGTCTTCTCATAACCTTATGGGCCTCCTCGGCCTGTTCCAGGGATAGCGTTAAACCTTTCCTGGTCCCTTGATTCATGTAGTTCATAGTTTCGAAACTCTGTCCCAATTTAGCCACTTCATTACACTATGTCTTCAGCTTGCTGTTTGCCTCTTTATCACTGCTTGCCTGTCGTAGTTTTACAACCTGAACCAGGAGACAGTACGTGTCACCGAAACGCCAGTTAACTTCTACCAAGCTTCATGACATCACATCTCACATGATAGTAGGCTGCTCCTCAAAGAGAATGTGTCTGTTTTCGTTACTTAATTAGTAAAATAAACATTCCTTCTGGGTATTTCGTTATAGTAACACTGCAAATGGATGCCAAGATGTACTGCGTGTAGCCTACTGCTCCTGCTGGCAGTGTTGGTATACCTGCCGATGACAGAAAGAGGTCTTAATGTGCTGAAATTCGTGGAAATCCAGTTAACAAGGAATTTCTGTTTCTAAACTTTCCCACTCCCACCACATAACCAACCAATCCCGGAGAACAGAAGCCAGGGGATACACTACTGCTCCTGGTATCTCCGTGCGGATGCCAAACACTTACTGCCGCTTTCATAACATCAAGGCATATAGCAAGCACGGGGAGAATAAGAATGCATATAGGATTTTGGTGGGAAAGCCATAAGAGACCACTAAGAAGACCTACACAGATGTAGGAAGATAATATTAAAATGCATCTTAGAGTGATGGGATCGTGTGGTATGAATATGATTGATTTGGCACAGGATAGGGACCAATAAAATGCTCTTGTGAGCACGGTAATGAACCTTGGAAGTTATATAAAATCTTGAAAAATTCTTCAGTAGCTGAGGGACTGACGGCTTCTAAAGGAGGGATTCAACTCCATGAAGTTAGTTCATACCAAAACATTATTCAGCCAGTTAAATCCAGTACACACCCACATCCTCTGGTATTATCCTACCACCTACGTTTAGACCACAAAAAGACTTAAAATAAATGAACGCGGGACTCGCGAGGTCCATATTAATCTTCAAAGCTTTCAGGATATTGAATATTCCATTCAATTATCGTGACCTTCCAGGTCTCCACGTAGGTAATTATGGAGATCACTGGCTTCTGCAATATGACGCCGAGTAGTCTGGTACACAATTACCAAAGCGTCGGAGGAACCTGATGCCTCCTTCTTCAGTGTAGAAGAAGAGTAAACCTATAGTGCAAGAGAATGGTGTCAGCGGACAGAGTTTGTAATCCAAGAATGGTTGAGATGGCTGAAAGATGTAGAGAATGATTCACGAGAGCTGAAAGTGAAGAGATGGAGGCCAATAACGCAGAAAAACTTGAAACTGCTGTAAAAGAAACAAAGGTCCTTGAACGGCCGCAGGGTTATAGAGAGAGAAAAGTTTGATATAGACAACTCTCATATGGGTACAACTTCTTCCGCGCTTTCCATTTCTAACCTGGAAATGGAAGCAGAGATTCCTCCGAAACTTTGACAGCGATTTACTACTCTACAGGGCGTCACACCATAGAAGACAAGAATCTTCTTAATTAACGTAACACTTGTCGATTCCCTACAAGCAAGTAATACCAAGGAACTGTACTATGATTCTTAATGTGGCGAAAAGTGGATCGCACTGACCGGCCTGACTTTACTGCTCCTCCGCTCGGGATGTTTTATTGCTAGTGGGGTAGGACTAAGTCCATTGTACTGCGGCCACTTCTGGCCTATTGTACCAGCCCCAGATGATAGGTGAGGGTGATTGTGGAGCAGTAGGTGGAATGAAGATTGGCAGGGGAAACCGAAGTACTCGGAGAAAAACCTGCCTCAGCGCCATTTTGTCCACCACAAATCCTACTTGACCAGACCGGAGATTGAACCCGTCACTGTCGAGATTCGAACCGATGAGAGCTTCACAGGTGTACCAATAAGTACAAACAGCCATAAGATCTGCATGAGGTAATCACGTCTCGGGTAGTCGGACCACCCAGCACCTCTGATGTATCATTACGCCAACCGCTGCGACTCAACCTCGTCTCAATCAATGAGCCAGGGGTGTCAAGATATATCCTTTCCTGAGTCAACTTAGGCGCTCCCAAGATTTATTTTTCCAGGAGGGCGGAAAGCCAGGAAATGTGCTCAGAAACTGATGTTCAGGGATCACAAAAACATTTTTTACGGATCGTTACAGAGATGGGGGCCTCTATATCGAAATCCAGATAAAAATAATTTTAATTTCTGGTACATTTCCTTCTTTAATTCAAAATTTTCTCCAAAAATCCGGGGGGGGGTGCTTAGATTCTCCTCACCCCTTCCCGTCCACGAGCTCATAGTATTAGCTCCTTATTTATCATCTCCAAGCTAAGAAACACGGCTTCTTAAAGGATAAGTTATCCCTGTGCTTAATTAAGCACCATGCTATAAAGACGTATTGGGGACTGCAGGTATAGCTCCAGTATTCTTGACTTCGGAACAAAATGGAGGTGAGTAGTTAGATCTCCGCCTCTGCAGCTCCTTCGGTAGTCATTGGATATGAGACTTGGTGGGTTCCAGAGACGGTGTGGACGCTGTAGAGTAGAGGTATATCTCT